GCCGCTCTCTTTCTTGTTGAAAGTTTGTTGCCTTTCCTTTTCCCATGGAGAGCAACAACTGCATACGTATGCCCCTCTCTCCACTCCCCTTTCTTCTCCCCGGAAACTTGTTTATTTATCCATTGAAGTCGAGCCCCCAAAGAAATGGTATTTTTGGTGCAGCTGTTCGTACATACATATGTATGTATTTATGTATTCGTTCGTTTTGGTCTTTTCCTCTTTATGTTGTTTACGATTTCGTTTCGTTTTGATTTCCATTTTCCATTTGCCGTTATGCCCCCGGCCTCCAAAGTGGGCGTTAGTTGCACTTGACTTGCGGTTACGACAGACGTAATATCAGGGGGCAAACTGTACATTCCACAAACAGTTATGGTAATAACAATAAAACTTACTTTTAATGTTTATTTCGAAAAAATAACAGGTTAAATATAGTTGTTTTTAATGTATATTTCAAAATATAGCAGGTTTTAAAATGGTTGGCTTTAATATATTTACGAGTAAGAGGTTGCAAATTGCTGAAGGTTAAAGATATTTGGTTAACCCAGAGGTTGATTTAACCCAGAGATTAGCCCACGCCCACTTTTCTCATTTACTTTCCGATAATAATTAAATCCCATTTAAACACGCAGTTATTATTTGCCTAAGAAAAACAAAAACAGAAATAATTAAGAGGGCAGCACGTAACGCGATAGCGTTGTTTATTTGCATTTTCCTCTCTAGTTTATTATTGTTGTTGACAATCGAAAGCGGAATAGCGAAAACAAATTTGATATATAACCGGGAATTGGGACCCCCACGGGTTCCATGGGTTCTTCAGCGCGGGTTCAAACTCCATCCATAACAATAGTGTTCAATGTCGTAGCAGCTTTAAATAGTTTAACTGATAAGCCTACGTTATGTGACTTGTTTTCTAACTATCATGTTTCCCGATTATATAGATCGTGTGACATAATTCCTGGATTCAAGATGGGTTTCAGCCCTAGCTTTCGCTATTCCGCGTTTCCTCTCAACCGATGGCCTGATTTTGTTTTACGTCAATTTATGGAATACAAAAAATTATACATGATTTCATTAATTATAGTCAAGCCTTATCACTCAAATAGCTGTAGGCCGTTTGGATTGCATCTTATCAAAATATTTGGAAAGCACTAGCGTGTGGCACTGCGGGGAGCTTGTTTTCTTATCAACATGGCACATGGCACACGGGAAACTACTATTTTTATGAGTACAATATGGGAGCATAGGTTCCCAAAAAGGTTCAATAAATATGAACACACCTATTAGGTACATAAAGTTTTCATTACCAACCAGAACATAAATATGTTTATTTAAAAATAAAAAGGTATTTATAAAAATTGTATAGATATTTTTTTGTTTTCAAATAACAATCATTATCGATTCTATTCGTGTAATAGAACCCTATTACGAAACGAACTAATTTTGTGCCCCATTATTAAACTCAAGTTGTACCATATGGTGGGATCCATAGCTTATCAGCTTCATAAACTGTGTTGGGGGTCGGGTGGCAAATAGAACAAAGCAAACACTTTCAAATCACTCAAGGTTCGTACGTCATTTCCCCTCATAAGCGGGGCGGGAAATGGCCAACAACAATAACACAGCCAAGAGCACCACTTGACCCTTTGGATGACACAATGACGCAATGACGCATCAAAAGACGCAGATCAACAATCGGGGGAAACGCGAGATGAGATAGCCCACTGAACCCGTAAATATCAATATTGTATAAGCATGATTAGCAAGGGTATGGAACTTACAGTCGATCTTACCCAAGACAAACTGGGAATTTTCTAGAACTATTATTAGATTGATTGATTTTTTAGCCTTTTTGAAATATTATTATGGGGATCAAGATTTTCTGTATGACAAGGTCCAACTTTTTATAAGCTAGCTATATTTCAAGTTTAATGGCGAATTTTAACTAACCACTTTTCATTTGCATTTTACAGGCAGCATGACTTCGGATTTCTTCAGAGTGGTGAACGAGGCACGCCGCTATTCTCTGGGTCCCTTCAGTCCCTCCTTTAACATCCAGACCTGCTTGCTGGAGGGTCTGCAGAAGCATCTGCCAGATGATGCCCACAAGCGGGTGAATGGACGTCTCCACATCTCTCTTACCCGTGTTTACGACGGAAAGAATGTGATCATCTCGGAGTTTGAGTCACGTGAAGAGGTCCTGCAGGCCCTGTTGTGCGCCTGCTTTATCCCAGGATTCTCCGGCATCCTGCCGCCCCGTTTCCGCGGAGTTCGCTATATGGATGGCGCCTTCTCCGATAACCTGCCCATTCTGGACGAGAACACCATCACGGTGAGCCCGTTCTGCGGCGAGAGTGACATTTGCCCGAGGGACCAGAGCTCGCAGCTCTTCCATCTGAATTGGGCCAACACCAGTATCGAGATCTCCAGGCAGAACATCAATCGGTTCGTGCGCATTCTGTTCCCGCCACGTCCCGAGTTCCTGTCCAAATTCTGCCAGCAGGGCTTCGACGATGCCCTGCAATTTCTGCACCGCAACAATCTTATCAACTGCCGGCGCTGCGTGGCGGTCCAGTCCACATTCGTGGTTTCCGAGACGGTGGCCCAGCCCCAGGAGTTCGACCCCGAGTGCAGGGAGTGCAAGAAGCATAGAAAGGTGAGGTGAAAAAAATCGCTAAATTAAATAAGAAATGATTTAAAGTTAATAGCTAATAATTGTTGTTTTTACCTATAACTAACTTTTATTTTTTCGTATTTTCCAGGACGCTTTGAGCTCAAATATGCCCCAGACAGTGCTGGATGTGATCCAGGACTATATTGAGCAAGCCAACAAGGGTCTGGCCAACTGGATCTTCAAACATCGCGGTATTAAGCTGCTTTCTCTGCCCGCTACAGTGCCCATGGACTTTCTCCTTGCGACCATTTCAAAGTAGGTTTCAATATCTCATCCTTGAAAGCCAGTTTTTAACGATATCTTTTTTATAACTCTCTTTTTTAGAATATCAGCGCTGACACCCAAACTAACTAAGCAAGCTAGAATTATGGTGGAGGACTTTATTCTTCAGTTAAATGACGCCATGCGGATACGACTGCTAAATAAATTCACGGTAAGTTAATTAAATGCTTACATTGTGATAAGCAATTAAGGTTAATTTAAAACTGTAGGGATAAACTTTGTATTTCTCATTGTTATGATTCGAAAGAAAGAATTATGTAATATATTTAACCAACGAACCTTTTTCTTATTGCAGCTTTATGACCAGCCCCACTTTGATGCCACAGGACTCCTGCATTCCAGTCGTCTATATGGACCTCGTGTATCCATTCTTGTGGATGAATGGTGAGTTGGGCCTTAATATGCCGCCCTCCTAAACTAGTTAAACTAATTGTATCTTTCTTTTTAGTGGAGCCACCCCGCTGGAGGACGATGTCGATAACTTTGAGCATGTCCTCAAGATGACCACGCACAACGACGCTCTCTACGCCTATTACTACACCGACAATAACACGAACAAGGTGAAAGTGACCGAGATTTTTGACTTTGACGATATGACGGAGCACGACGAGCTGGCCACCGACCTACAGATATACGAGGGATCGGTGGAGGATCACCCCAATCCCCACCAGCACAGCCACAATACTGTGGTCAGCGAATGGAATGGCGTTGAATCAGGTTAATATCTTAACAATAATTACTCGTCTTAAGACAAAAATCACTTCATTATGTAGACATAACGTATCATTTGCAAATTGAATCAACACCGAACATTTTTTGCAGTACAAATTATGCCCACGACTCCTGAACTACACGACGTAGCCTTTTAATGCACTCTCACACAAACTAAACGACTATAAATGCACCTCCATAACCTTTCACCCACTCAAGCATTAAGTCAAAATTTTAAATCATTGGCAGGTAAATGATCAAAAGCTCCAATCAAATTCCCTTTCTTTCCATTAAATAGTTTCATTTCATTTTGTTGAACTTTTTGAAATAGTTAAACTAATTTATATGTTTCTTTCCAATGCTCCACAGACTTCTTCATCGATGCCCAGACGCCAAATGTGGAGGATAGTAAAACAGCAACGCCACAATTTGCCCGTCTAGATCTGGAGCCCGAGTCAGATGCTAGCGTCCTCAGCGATCCTGAGGTCGATCAGAGTTTTAGCACCTCAACGCACAGCACCGATATGTATATAGTTATGGAATGAGACGCGGAGGAACGGGAAGGGAAATTGGGGGTACTCGACTTAGGAACTGTAACGAAACATCTCCAAAGCGGCTCGTAGCCAAGCGAAAAGCCTAGTAGCGTTTCCATTAGTCTAAGCATTAGTCTTAGTACGACCAACGTATGTACCTAACTTAACTTAGCCCTAACTGCCATTGTATCATCGCCAGTTTGTAAGCGGCAATTAGCAAATAATTGCATTCTTGTTATTTAGTCACCCTCACACGACTTGTATTACATCAAAATCCCATCTGTGTTTAGCCTAAGTTGATAATGTATGATCAATAAAAAAATAAACAAGATTTTTATGTGTGGGGTTTTTATAGATGATAAATGGGAAAATTATAATATTCACAGAACAGGTAGTATTTTTGCAGTGCAGAAATTTGTATAATTATAATTCATATAATTAAAAAAAGCATTTAATGATTAAACCAAAGAAAACAAACAGGATGACTTACAAACTACATTTTTAAAAATAAATAAGTTAGTAGGTTTCCAAACACAATTGAAATGAAAGAAAAAAAGTGATCTTAAAAAAGTACGGGAATTTGGTTTAAATTTGGATACATATTGTCGTAGTTTTTTTTCGTTTCAATTTGGATACATATTTATGAATAATTATTTTTAAAATTATTTTTTAATATGTTAATTTCAAATTCGATTTTATTTCCCGATACCTATCAGAATCGATCACAACCGATAAGTATCGATGCCAAGTGAGTACTTCAACCGCCAAAGCACTCGGTAATTTTTAGTAATTCTGACAACGGTCACACTGTGATTATTATTTTTTTCTTGTAGCCGATTTATTGTTTTGATTTTGGTTAATTAATTGCCAGCAATCAGCTTAAATTGTGTGTTAACTAGAAAGGCAACTGGGCAGTCACAATATGGAGGCGGTGCCGCGTTTGCATATGCTGTGGTTCGCCCTGAAATCGAGTCCCGAGGGAACCTCCTTTGCGGCTTTGAAGAAGGTAAAAAAAGAGCGACTGAAAAAGGGGAGTGAAATAATTAAGAGAGAGTCAGCAAAACAAAGAGGCGACCAATTATTTGAACTTAATTATCGGTCAGCTGGGAAAAATGCGTTGTTTTTTGGACACTTTTGGTGGATAATTAGGGCTCCTTATGGTGCAATTGCAGTTTTCAATGCTCCCCCGCACATTCCGTTCCCACAATTTTAAAGCCCCCTTTGTCTGGCGGCTGAGTCATCGCCGTCATCTGATCATCTTCGCAGACAAAAAGTTATAAACAAACATTCCGTGCATTACGGGTAATTGCTCCCTTTTACCTTATTGGAATCTCTATCCCTTATACGAATTTTTAATGGACAACCATCATGTAATCTTAGTTTGATGGTCTGATACCTTGAAAAAGCTTAGAATGGCAACTAATAGTACCGGAAATATTGCATATTGACAAAATAAAAATAAAACAAAATTAAAAAAAATATATCTGAAGAATTAGTACCTATACTTCTTTAAAATAAATATTTTTAACTTTATGAAAAGAAGTAAATAATTTTGATTTATTAAAATTCGAAATATTTCTTTTATGATAATTCCCTTAAATGAAATCTAATAATCTAAATTATCCCTTTTCTCTCCTAGTACATTGCTGAATTCTACCATGAAGACCCCGAGGCGTACTCCAAGGAGGTCCATGCCCTGGAGACCCTTCGCAACCAGGCCATGCGCACCACCAAGGACGGGGCGCCGGTGATGAAGCGCTACTACTGCCAGCTGCACGCCCTCCAGAATCGATTTCCCCAGCTGGCGGATCGGGGGATCTTCACCTTCACGTGGAAGGATCTCTATCACAGCGCCGTTCACGAGGTCAGCGACCTGCGATTCGAGCGGGCGGCAGTGCTGTTCAACATTGCCGCATCGCACACACAATCGGGAGCCTCGGTGACCCGCGGCGATGTGGACGGCATGAAGATGGCCTGCACACATTTCCAGGCGGCAGCTTGGGCCTATGGAGAGCTGCGGGAACGCTATGCGAATGTCAATAGTGGCGGGGATTTCATGACCCCGGAGCTGCTGGTGTTCCAGCAACAGGTGTGCTTTGCTCAAGCCCAGGAATGCATTCTGGAGAAGTCCCTCATTGATAACAGGAAGCCACACATTGTGGCCAAGGTTACGGCGCAGATTGTGGTCTACTATGGAGCTGCACTGGCTGCTCTGCTCACCGGAGGAGATGAGGGTCCAGTGGCCCAGGTCATCGATAGCTCTGTTTACAAGTTGTGGAAGAAGTACGTTCGCTTTAAGATCAACTATCTCAACTGCATCTTGTACCTGTACCAAGGACAGCATTCCGAGGAGAAGCGGCAGATGGGCGAAAGGGTGACTCTCTACCAGGTGAGAAGGTCTCTGAATGAATATAGAATATATACATATTATACCTCTTACAGGCCTCTTGGGACAAACTGGAGGAGGCAAGGAAAGAGTCCAAGGGTCTGCCCGATCAGCGTGAGATCAACGAATCCCTCAGCTTCACCGCTGATGTTGTCGAGGCCAAGCGCAAGAATGCCAAAAACGAGAACGAGTTCATTTACCACGAGTCTGTGCCGGAACTCTCCACCATTGCAGCGGTCCAGGGTGCCAATCTGGTCAACGGGATTGGCTTTCAAGTAACCGACGAGGAGCACGCGGGACCGGATTTATTTGCCAGACTGGTGCCCATGAAGGCCCACGAGGCCAGTTCGCTGTACAGCGAGGAGAAGGCAAAACTGCTGCGAAAGTACGGAGCCCTGCTGGAGGAGAAGGACACCCAACTGGAGGCCTACATGAGCTCGCTCACCCTGGATAACTTGAATATCAACGAGGAGCAGGCCAATAAGTTGCCCCAGGGCATCGTCGATCGCTGTGCCGCCTTGAATGCCAACAAAACGGCTATAAGCGATCTTGTAGAGGCCATGTCCCAGCTGGCTGAGATTACAGCCGATGTGGAGACGAATCTGGCAGAGATATCGCAGATGTTGGAGGCGGAATCCAAAGCGGAGCGGGAATTCCAGTCCGCCAGCGGCGTTCAGCGCACTCCAAATGCTCATATAACCGAGTTAACCCGAGAGTTTCAGAAGTACAGTGAAGCTCATGCCCGAGCGGGCGAATCCAATAATACCCTACGAAAAGCCATGAGCCTGCATGTGAATAACCTGAAAATCCTGGCCAGACCCTTGCCTGAAATCCAACAACTGATGCCCAAACTGAGTTCAGAGCTGAATACTACCGAAATCTTCAGGGACGTGAAGCTCATCCTGAATAAAGTCAACGAAATGAAGGCCCAACGCGCTCAGTTTCATGCGGACTTGCGGATAGCCATTAATGAGGATGATATTACTGGCAAAGTGATTGCCCATGGTGGGCAGGAGGGTCTCCAGGCTTTGTTCGCCACCGAACTGGGAAAGCACGATAAGCTCACCGAACTGCTGGATCAGAATATGGTGGCTCAGGCGAATATTCTGCAGGCTCTAACTGAAAACTATGCCAAGGCGGCACCAGTTTTGAAGACCCTGCAGGACGTAAAGCAGAAACGGGAGCACTTTTACAGTTCTCTGGCGGCCTCCTATGACGTTTACGAGGATCTGCTGGCCAAATCCGCCAAAGGTTTGGAATTCTACAAGAAACTGGCCGGAAATGTGCAGAAGCTTCTCACGCGATACAGATCCGCCAGGGATGTTCAATCCGAAGAGCGCCAGCAAAGAATGCAGAGTGTAAAAGCGGCGGCGGTGGTGCCTCCAGTTTCCAGTAAACCCACTGCGGAAGCAGCTCCTCTGCCCGCAGTTAGTAGCACTCCCAAACTGAGGGATTATCTCAAGGCCAAGGCAGCGATGGCGGATGCCTCGAATCCCACAACTGCCGGCTATTTGCCCACAGTGCGTCCGGTGCCGGTGGGCTCGGAGAATCCCACCCAGGCCGCTTGTTCCTATGCCACCGCGCCGCCGAATGAGCCACCTCCACCGTACAGCCTCACACAGCAGCAGTATTTCGATCCCAGTGCCGCTGGCTACACGAATCCCATGTATCAGCAGCAGCAGCAGCACATTGCTCCTCCGGCCTACAAGGCTCAGGCATCGCCGAATTCGCAGACCCTGCACGGAGCAATGGCTCAGATGAATCTGCAGGCGCAGGCGCAGGACAGCAACCAAGCGAGCTTGGGATACAGTTACGGATATCCAAGTGGTGCAGTGCCGCCTCTGGCCTATGCGCCACCTGGAACAGCACCAGCAAGCTCGGCTTCCCAGGGATTCAACGTCCAGCAACCGTTGTACGTGGCTACTTCGGGCAATCCCCATCCTGTTTCGAATCCCAGTGATGTGCCCTCCTCCCTGCAGGCGCCTTATGTGGTCAATCAAATGGCTAATACTTACCAAACAGCGGCTGGATATTCAGGACAGGCTTATCAACAGGTGACTGCTCAAAATCAACAGGCAGCCTCTGGCTATCAACAGTCTTTGGGCTATGCGCCAAACCAGACGGCGCAGCAGCAGCAGCCTGCGGGATATCCGCAATCCCAAACACCACAGCAACAGAGTGGAGGTTATTCCCAGCAGCCACCAACAGGATATTCCCAATCTTTGACGCCTCAGCAAGCCCCAGGATATCCCCAGCAACAGCAACAGATCGCCGGTTATTCCCAGTATCAGCAATCCGCGGGAATTACACAGCCGCAGACACCTCACCAACAACATACGGGTTATCCGCAGACACCACAGCAACAGGCAACAGGATATCCCCAATCTCAGACACCTCAACAACAGCCAGCAGGATATCCCCAATCTCAGACACCCCAGCAACAGCCAGCAGGATATCCGCAATCCCAGACACCTCAACAACCACTGGCATATCAGCAGCAACCATCGGGCTATCCACCACAGCAACAACCTTCACTGTATCCCTCGCAGGCTGTCCAAGCATCGCCTCAATCCATTCCTGGCCAGCAGACCACGTCACAGATTCCTGTGCCGTATCCTCAGCAATACAGTGATGCCAATGCTACTCCGGCTCCAGCTTCTGGTGTTTCTCCTGTTCCGAGTGCTGCTCCACCCACTTCATCTCAAGCTTCAGCTGTTACATCTCCTCAGCCCTCAGCCACCTACACCAGCTATTCCAACCATCCTGGCTACAGCTTTAATCCGCAGACGGGTGTATACGAGTACAGCAGTGGCTATCAGCAGGACAGCAGCTCCTTGAAGGGATCCCAGGCATCTCAGGGCTACCAGTTCAGCCAGAGTGGCAAGCAGCAGTCGGTAGGAACCACAGACTCGGAGAACGCCAATCGCAGCAGTTCGGCCACGGGATTCAATGTGAGTAATAAACATTAAACATTTTTGGAAGGGTTCGGAAAATAACACACATTGTAAAAAACTTGTGTTATTAACATGTTAAATGCTAAAGTGTTAAGTTTATAAAAAAAAATATTGACTTGTGTGAAAAAAATTGTATTCTACATATGCTAGAAACATAAATAACACACACATGTCATTTGTGTTATTTACACTGTGTTTTTTACACAGCGTGTTTTTAACACAATGAGTTGTTGACATTAAAGTCTCAGAATTATATGTTGAACTAAAAAATGCAAGTTTTTCTTGAGTATAAGAATTCATAAATGCTTTGAAATGGTTAAAACTAACATATAAGATATTATGTCTCATATTGGTTTTTTATTTTCCCTTCGATTCGTTAATGTCAGTGAAATGTAATTTTCATTTGTGTTAAAAACACAGTGTGTAAGAAAAACGTCATGTTAATAACACATTGTGTAAAAAACACCAGTGTGTGCTAACAATTATTTTTCACATTTTAACACTTTTGTATTTGACACAACAATTTTACTCGCACTGTAAAATAAATTTTTTCATGTTTCTAACATGTGTGTCAGTCTCGGAATCCTGAATTTTTGAGTCCCTAAATAATAAAGACACTTGTCCCGCAGTCACCCATCGTGTCGCACACCAAGGCTAATCTGCCGGCCCAGGAAACCATTTCATCGGAAGAGGGCAAGGAGTCGTCCAACTACTACTCGGCTCCTTACGGCTACCATGGCAGTCTAACACCCCAGCCGCAGCAGCAACATCAGCCCACTCCCACGCCTCCAACGAACGGCACGGGCTCCATTTACATGCAGAGTGGGGCGAGCAGCACTGCCCAGACGCAAACAACCACCAGTGGACCACCCTACACCTCCTCCACGGCTTCAGCCAAGCCGGAACCCAAGACGGAGGTGGTGGCTCCCAAGGTAACCAGCAATGTGGATCTGCTTAGCGACCTGGACATCGACTGCTCTGTGGCTGTACCGCCGCCAATGTTGCCGCTGCCCGTGCTGCAGCCCCAGGTGGTGGCTACTCCCACGCCCCCCGGAAGTCAGGTGTCGGCACCTGTTAAAGCCGAAAGTGTTGTGGAGGTAAATATAATATATAATATATTATAACACTTTTTATATCCGTTACTCGTAGAGTAAAATTGTATATTGTATTCGTGCAAAAGTATGTAACAGCAAGAAGGAAGCGTTTCCGACCCCATAAAGTATATATATTCTTGATCAGGGTCACTAGCCGAGTCGATCTAGCCATGTCCGTCTGTCCGTCCGTATGAACGCTGAGATCTCGGAAACTACAAAAGCAAGAGCTAGATAGTCGGGACACCAACCCGACTATAGCGTTCTCTCTTGTTTAACTTATAACTCTCTAAACAACAAAATCTATTATTCTTTTCCAGCCCACTGCACCCAAAACGCCTGATATTCCTCCAGTGGCCGTCGAAGAAATATCTTCAACTCCAGTTTCTATACCAGCAGCTCCCAGGTGCACCAGTCTGGATAACCTGTCCAACTGTTCTGACCTAAGTTCGCTGGAGAACTTCGATTGGGACTCGGTCTCGCTTACACATTCCGCCACTGAAACTCAGCCAAAGCCAGCTGCTGCCAATGGCCATTCGAACAATTTTGCATTCCAAGTCGAAACATTTACCGATGAGAAGACGACGAAATATTTCCAAAAAGAGGTGGAGAGCTACGAAAAGTTGCTGGAAAATCTTCACGTGAAAATGCTGAACGGGAAAACCCAACTAGGAGCCAAATGGCAGGAGTTGCAGCAGAAGCTGGACAAAGAAGCGAGTGCCAACAAGCGATCCACCACCATTGCAAAATTGTTCCCTGAGAAGAATCGATCGCTGGACTGCCTGCCCTACGATCATGCTAGAGTGAAACTGGACAAGCAGACAGATGACTACATAAATGCAGCCTACATGAAGGTGGGTCATTATTAACATTGATAAAATAATGAGTTAATAAAGACAGTGTCTTTACTTATTTATATAGAACTTGAGTGCCGGCTGTCCCAATTTCATCGTTGCTCAGACACCACAGGCGAATACTATTAACGATTTCTGGTCGATGATATGGTCAGAAAAGTCACGAACTGTGGTTTGTCTGCATACCACAAACGAGGTAACAATATAGCACTTTATCTCTGTAAACTTAATAATTAAATTCATTTATTTTAAAGCTTTTTGATCCCTACTGGCCTCAGTCACTGGATCAGCCCACTCACTACGATGATTACACCGTGACCTGTGTGAAAATACAGCAACTGAGTCACTGTTCCGAGTACCAACTCAAATTATCCATGCATGGGGCAGATGCCGTGTTGGATTTATCTCTTCTGCAGCTAAAACAGTGGACCAAGGGGTAAATATAATGAGTGTAGGCAATTAAATAACAAAAGTTTAATTTATTTGTGCTATTAATTTAAAGAGCACCCGCTCAACTTTTGGGAGTGGCTCAAAATGCCCTGGAGACCCATCGAGCGCGTTGCCAGGCGGCTAATGCACCCAATTCCCCGCTCATTATGAATTGTTTAACGGGCTCAGAGCGTTCCGAACTAGTGGCCATTGGTGTATGTGCTATCATAGCCACCCAAAACAAGCAGCCAATTCTGATTAGTGAGTATAATATAATTAAAATTTAAGTATAATACCTATTTAATATTTGTATATTCCCATCAGATACGGTTGATGTTTGGTCGCGCATTTGTGTGCAGCGTCAAAATTCCCTAAGGGATTCAGCCATCCTGGAACAGTCCATGCAAATTGTGCTTTGCAATGCTCACAATGTGCTTAACAAGCGTAAGAATAAAGAAATATACATTTTAAAGACAAAACTTAATTTTTTTTCTCAAACAGGTGGCATAATGACCTCATATCAAATGAAGATGGCTCCGCAGGTGACTGCCAAGGAGCAGCAGGAGACCAAGGATCCGCTTAACGAATTGGATGCACTTTGGAAGCTGAAATAAAGGACTGAACCAACCAATAGCGGCAAATAACTAAAGATATATGACTAATCAAATCGAGTATTTATACAACTATTTAATTGTGCAAACCAATTTCCAACGATCTGACATTGTTGCAAACAATTTAAGGCAAGAGAAAAGTATTTAAAGGGATATCGAAATCATTTTCTAATCTATATTCGTAATCGTCTCCTTCAACTGTTATATAAAGTGTATTTCGAAGCGAACCAAATCGTGATGTTAATGGGATATTGTCAAGCGTTTCAAACCACTCTATACGAGTATATTATATATCAATAACATATTTAATAAAATACATAACAAATCAAAAGCATTCCTTGTGAAAAATGTCAACATAGAAAACTATTTTCCGAGTCGACTTGAAAACAATCATGAAGGTGATTAACATTCGTTGGAAGATTTGCCTGCCGGGTTTTTTGGTGATAACTTATATGATAAGTGCATTGCTGTTCTTGGGAATGGATTTAACCAATATTGAGCCGGTCGAGCCGAAAGTGGTAAAAAATCATACCAAGGCAGTGAGAAAGTTTTTAAGAACGGACCATAGGACCCAGGAGACGGGGCTAAGAAGCCCGGAGGTTAAGCCCCGATATCGCTATAGCGGCGGCAGGTCTGGAGTAAAGTTTGTGATTGGAGTGCCCACTGTACTGCGACCCAAAAGAAACTATGTGCTCCAAACCGTGGACTTTTTGATCCGTCGCATGACTCCGGAGCAGCTCGACCATAGCCTAATTGTGATTTATGTGGGCGAAACTAAGCTCCAGTTTGCCAAGTTCATTGTAAAGCAATTGAATGTGAACCATTCGATGCATTTGCGAGCGGGCCTGATCGATGTGATTGCTCCACCATTGAACTACTATCCGAACTTCTCGTCACTGCACATCACTCTGCACGACGATCCACAGCGAGTTCAGTGGAGGACCAAGCAGAACCTGGACTACATATACCTGATGTCCTATGCCAGAGGAAAGGGCTCGTACTACCTGCAGTTGGAGGACGATGTGTTGGCGAACGAGGGATTTTTGGACTACATTCAGAAGTTTGCCATGCTGCATGGTCACTTTCGGTTCCAGGCCGATTGGATTGTGATGAGCTTCAGTGATCTGGGCTTCATTGGGAAGCTCTTTCCCACCTCCGTTCTGGATTCCTTTGTGGCCTACCTGCAATTGTTCTACAATGACCAACCCATAGATTGGCTCCTCCAGAGTTTTGTGACCCTGCAGAGCTGTCGCTGGGATAGTATTTCTAGTCCAGACTGTCAGAGGGACTTTGAATCCAGACTAGTTCGTGCTGCTCAATCTCAGTTCCAGCACATGGGCGCATTATCCTCGCTGCCGAAAAAGAAGCAGCATCAAAAGGATGGTTTATTCAATCGCAATATCGGCAAACAGCGCATGCAACATCTGCGACAACCCCTTAACCTGATCGCTTCCCATCGAAACTCACTCTTGAAACAGAATCCCAACCTGCAAACGGGCGAAACTTTTATTTGGATTTATATGCCGCAGATGCCCAAGATGATCGAGTATCTGATAAGGAATCAGTACAAGAAGTCCCAGATCCGCATTCGTAATGCCAAGGAAACGGACATAAATCTCGCCGAGTTTAGTGTGGAATTGGTGAAGGGATCGCCCACGCTGGTGGTGAACAGCTCCTCCAACGAGCAAATTGGCTTCGTTATGAGCCAAACCGTCAAAAAGTTCGATGACAAAAATAAGAATGGCGACGAGTTGCCCTTCAATTACATGTACTACTATATAAAAGAAGAGCCCGAGGGACTCACATGGTTCCGACGATTCTTTTGGGCCTCCAACGGATCGTGTGGTCAAAAACTGTCATTGTTTTCATATTGGTTTCTGACAATATTTTACTTGGGTGAAGAACAATTACGAAAACAATTAATTGTGAAATAAAATGCCACTATAGAAGTTTTCCCATTAAAAATACCTTTTTCCTTTAAGAAACTGGTTTTTCCATGCTCAACATTAAACTGTAATCCTGATATACTGAAATTTAAAATCAATCAGTAAATAGTTTAATTTCAAATACTTGAATTATTTATTAAGCTTATACACACATTACACGCATATTTGTTCTTGTTTGATTTCGATTAAGTTTTGAGTTGTCCCAACGGCTTATGAATATTGTAAAAGTAATTTGTAATAATTCAGCTACAATTGTTATGGGTTGTTGTGTCGTGGAAGGGGATGGGAAGCCTATAATGCCAGCTAATGTATAATTCAGTTTGATCACTATCAACTATTATTGTTGCTTGTTAATTGGTTGCAATTTGGCAAAATTAGTGTTTCGCGGGGAGAGCGAGTGCTGTAAATTATTGTTGCTATTTGCCGCACACATAACACAGGGATATATAAAAATATATTTATGTACGTATGATTATGCAATAGTAAGTATATGCAAAACATTTGTTTAATTTGTTCAGTTTATCGAAAGCAGTCTACAATATTTGTTTCTTCATATATAGCGGCATATGAAATAATATGATATAATATTTAGAACGTCAGAATAGAATTCAACTTATAAATATATATGCCACTACATATTACAATTCTCGTTACTCAACAGGAACCAAGTTTAAACAATCATCATTCTTGTTTCTTCGTTTACAGTTTTGTCATAGTCTATCAAAAAATTTGGCGTTTCCAATTAGTTAAACCAATCATAAATTTTGTTGTATGTATATAAAAAGGTGTTCTTTGTATGATTTTTTTGGAATTTTGTTTTACAATAGCTAATCAGCGATGTTTAGTTTATATTTATTTGTAATATAATATAGGTTTTTATTTTCTTCATTGTTATGCAAAAATTATTAACAAATCACAGTGAAAAAGCAACAATGCTAAAAATCGTTTCGTTATTTTACGCTTCAATGTTTATGTTAATACATATTATGTTTATGTGGTTATGGCTTCATGTTCAAGGAGTTGGCTATATATAACTGATATAAGCATGCTGGATGAATTCATAAAATTAAGATAAATTATTAGAGTAAAGGAATTTTTTTGTAACTTAGATGTATAACAATGTTCGATTGTATCTTATTTTCCGTAGTTGATCGATAAGATTTCAGCGAGTTCGAGATTCTTGATTTTCAGCAAATGAAAACAAAATAAATTGGAATGTTTCTTCCGAGGTGCCGATAAAATGAGGTTAACACTTAAAATTAAGGCAAAATAAACCAAAAGACATTATTCGAATAACATAGGAATACAGGGGAATCGCTTCAGTTACATAGCCCACAACTTGATCCACAAAATATAAATATATCAATAGATCTTACCACCATGAAAAAATGGAAGGGGCACTTGGAGTACAAATATCAATCCGTATGGATATCCAAAAAAATACACTGATAGCTTGGGATTAAATAAGACTGTTAGCAGACTGCAGGCCAATGACATTGCAAAGTTTTGATAACGCTTAAGTTAAAGAAACCCTAACAAATTGGTTCTGGGGATATATGACATTAGTCTGCAGCCGTACTGAAATCTTAAAGTTAAGGATAATCACTTATAGTTAGGAGAGCGAGAGAGTTACCTTCTGGGGGATTATTTACACATTCAGATAATTGAGGGTAAAAGCATCATTCGAAAAATATACACAGAGATGTACAGACATTAGGGTGGGTCGACTCATTTCAATGCAAAAAACACGGAAAAGTCTAGGGAGCAAGAAGAATTCTTAAAAAAAAAGTACAATTGTAATGATTCTTTGTATGTATCGATAGAACAATTCGGTTGAATATTCTGAAAAGTTTCTCAGGCAATTACTTCAAGGTAACTTTTTGCTCCCACGACTTTTTCTCAACGAAATCGACTCGATCCCAACAGATATAGACAAATTGTGGATGAGGAGTAAATTGGACATTAACTGGAGAATATTGAAGGGATATTCCTATATATATTCCTATTCCTCCCAGTCCTGTCGCTGGCGGTGGCGATGTAGCAATCAGCTTCCCGCCACAAACCGTGGCTTCGCTGCATTCGCCTCCGATTTGGGATCGCTGCTCCACTCCTGAAGTTCGATCTCGCTAAGCAGGGCCCAATTCTCGCTGTCACTGTGCACGTGGAGGCGCAGCTCCTTAATGGCACCGATCTTGGCATCCAACAGACCCTCGGCCACGCCTAAGCTGTCAAACGAACCCACTACCAGATAGCCATCCGTGGTGGTGTTGTAGTTGCTCCAAACAGAGGAGTTCTCGCTCAGCGTATCCGCTGGCAGCAGCTCCACTGTGGTGTTGTAGAACCTATCCGAAGGATGCTCCGAGTTACCACTGCGGAAAAGGTAGTGCCTCAGCTGCGTGGGACGCTCGAATACAATCTGCACCAAATCCCCGGGCTGCGGTAGCAAGCCCCAGAAGTAGGACTCTCCTCTATACGCTCGTTTCAGCAGATAGTTCTTATAGGGAGCAATGTTGGACTTAACCACGGCCGGCGGATTATGTGTATGGGCATAATACTGCGGCACCTTGCTGCCAAACTGCTTGTCCTTTAGCTTTTGAACCTTTCCCCTCAGCGACGAACTTGTGCCAATGTGCTGGAATAGGGACTTTCGAAAGTGCTGCCAGTACTTGGCCTTTTCCGCATTGCAATGCTTCTGATCCTTGTCCGTTCGACACACCTTGGACTCAATAAAATAGGTCAGTAACCAGTCAACGGGCTTGTCATTGTAGAACATTTGGAAATAGGTGATCAGGTATGGCAGCTCAGCACTCTTGAACATCTTGCCAATAAAGCCAAGCTGACAAAAGTCCAACACAAACCAGGCCGGCTGATCGGGTTTCGTTAGGGCGCTCTTGATCAAGGCGAATTTCTTCATTGTGGTGATAAACTGCCGCTTGGTCAGTATATCATCCTCCAGCTGAACGTAAAAGGTGCCCTTCGAATGGGCATAGGCCATCAGGTAGGCAAAGTCCAAGTTCTGCTTGCTGCGCCATTTAACGCGCTCCAAGGGATCGTTCAGGGTGATGCGAAGTCTTTCGAAATTGGGATAGTAGCTGGGAGCAGGTGCTATTATATCAATCAGTCCACTGTCCACGTACTGCTCAAAACTCGTCTCAATTTGCCGGGCAATCAGTTGCACGGAATCCAGATCTGTTTCCCCGATATAGACAATGATCAGCGTTTCGTTTTGCTCCTCGTCGTTCATGTTCTCGATGAGATTGTGGAGGGTTCCGAGCAGATACGATTGCTTCTCCCTCCGCACGGTGGGCACACCCAGAACAATGCTGACATCGGAGCGGCCCTTGCTCTGCAAGTAGGCTGGTCGCAGGGAACCCGCATCGTCCAGGAGATGCGGCAGAAAGTGATAGGCATTCGGTAGTCTGATGTTCTGGCTCCTGGCCATCGAACCATTGCCACCGCCACCTTTGCTGAAATGCGAGGCATTTCGCAGCAGCTGCCTGGCCTCGGGACTCAGTCCGTCCAGCAGATTGACCACAGGCAGAGGCGGCGGCGGAGCACTAGCTCCCGTCACATTGACGCTCTGCAACTGGCCCAGGTACTGGGAAAGCAGCGCCACATCCTCTTGGCGAGCGCGGTACATGGACTCCAGGTACTGCAACCGCATATGGCACTCGGCCAGGCGCTGTGTTAGCGACTGTTCTGTGGATAGCTCGGGTCCCATCACCATCAGGATCACTATGCAGGGCGCCAGCACCAGGGCCGTCACAATCAGCATGCAGTTCCGCTGCCTAATCTTGAACATCTTTCGCGCTCCCCGGGATTCCTTCGCTGACTGCTGTATTAATTAACTAACTGCTTGCCTTGGGGCTGCTTTGCTTCCGCTTCTGGGTTGGCTTTTGGTTCTGGCTCGGTCTCTGGTTCGTTCTGCTGGCGCCGTTCCCTTGGGCCGGCTGTCATCCTCATCCCTCCTATGACTAATGCAGGCGCTGCAACAAAAACAAGCCATTTGGTTTATACACGGGCAAAAATAATAGAATAAATTACAGTTATTTACCCCCAACAAATTATCATATTAACATTAATGATTAATGAGTTCTATAAAAAATCAAATAAAATAGGTTTAAATATACTATAGTTTTGCTTTGAAATTAAATTCTATATTTTAAATTATGCATTAATATAAATGTATTATTTTTAAAATATTTGTTAGTCTTTTTTTTACATTTTAGCCCTGTAAAAATTTTGTTAAACGTGCAAAAAACCCCACTTCGTATTGATCCAATACTATAAAAATGGACTTGTAGTTTTTAGACGTGTTTAGCTATAAAGTACAAGTGTATTGTTTTTTTCAGAGTGTGTTAGGGTGGGGTGGCTTATTGGGGTAGGAATCTGAAGGTCGCACCGTTTAACGGTCTTTGTAGATGCCTTTTGCCTTACCCGAGTTGGATTAACGACGTCGTCGGTGGTGGCAGCTGTCGCAATTCTCGCCACATGACCTGGCCGTGAGTATAGAATAATAATAATTGTTATGTACTGAGCACTCGAGACGTTGGCAGGCAGTAGACCTAGACTTACATGGCCAAGACCCCGGAAAGCTTTGTTCTCCTCCTCGCCGCCAAAAGTTCGATCGGTATCGGTGGGTCTGGAAGTGGAGGAAACGCTGTTTACTGATTGTTAATTGGAATAGTTGGGGTTTGGCTTGTGCCAAAATGGGGTATATTTAGCGCTAGACGGTTGTTCAGGGCTAGTCATGAGGCCCCTTCGGGAACTACTTTTTATTAGTATTTATTCACCAAGGATTACCCGCAGCTAATCCAAAATTCTAGAGACAAGAGCTAAAAATAAATTAAGTAATGGATTAAATTTTCTTTCAGCGGTGCTGAATTAAGTAACCAAATTTCATTTGTACCACTTTTAGCCTTTAAGATATCTTTAAAAGTCTTCCGTACATGCGGGTCACAAAATTACATAAGTATTATCGGAAGTCTAGTCAGATTTCACATATGAATTCTGGTGAAATTTTTTTTTTAATTTTGTTATTATTTTTTGATAGGACTGCCCAAGCAACATAAAAATTAAAATAAGCTACGAAGAAACGAAATAAATTCTTACAACATGTAGGAAATTTAATAACGTTTCATAAAGATATTTTATCGCACGACAAGTCTCGTGGTCCAGAAATGAAACTTTTGACCATCTGGAATCTAACAATTTAATACAAGAATCAAAAATTCAATTTCATTAAAGTTCCAATATGAAACGTGGATCATTACAAAGAGTCCGCTGAGAATGCCGAAAGAAAAACCAATATTTGTTCATATATGCAATTTTAAACAAAATAATTTATATCCTAAAAAATATATTTAACAACTATCAACTAAGATATAATTTTTTTTTTATTAATATCCATTTAGTTTTCCGACCAGTGGTAGCTATATGATAAAGTGATCCGTTTTTTACTTCAAAAAACACCGGCCGGTTCCGACTTATTACTTCCTGCAATAGAAATAAGACTTTTGGTAAAGTTTCATCCCGATAACTCAAAAACTGAGAGACTAGTTCGCGAGGAAAAGGACAGACGGACATGGCTATATCGACTCGTCTAGTTATGCTGATTAAGAATATACATATATATCTTTTAAGGAGTCGGAAACGTCTCCTTCACTGCGTTGCAAAATTCTGGCTGAAATTATAATACCCTCTGCAAGGAAATAAGTTTACACATATGTATGTACATATGTAAAGAATAAAGTTTCATAAATTTATTTTATAGCACGCCGAGATCTTGTGGTCCACAAATAAAACTTTTGGGCATCTGGACTTTAAAAATTCCAAGCAAAAATCACTTTCACAAGAAATAAGAACGCCGAAGAGAACGCCGAAATAAAAAAAATATTTAGGGTCCATTAATATATTTTAATGGATTTAAAGTTACCTTTAAACATTAAAAACATATGGGAATTCAAAGGTTAAAGCAAACTTTAAATTTACATTTCGGACGAGAAAACGGCTCTCAAACAAAATCTGTACAACCATATACAGTTTAACTTTCCCTAGTCCACCCAAACTAGACATTAAAAAAAAGTATTAAAACTAGATATACATTTCAAATTCCCTCGGTAACTCGTAATTTTAATTACTTATTAGCTCTTCACAAATATATAAATACAAAAATATATTTACGGTATCACGTAATAATTTTTTTGAGAAGTTCAAGTTTTGATACCCTATAGGTGGGTATACCGTCTACCGGGTATCACTGACTCGAGATCGAAGATTGTTTTTTGTTTGGCAATGTGCGAGCTTTAACAATGTGGGGATATTAATTTTCGCACTCCGTTTAGCGAACGTAGGCGAAAGTAAACAATGGGTCAAAAAGATAAACAGATAAATAGGTAAATAAACAGGAACACCCAAAAGTTCGCACCCACGCACACAAACACACGCACACCCTTATTTACTCACACTTGATTGCAGCTCAAATAGGCAAGTAAATGAATTAATTAATTAATAAGCACTTAAATAGGAACAAATTGAATGCAGTGGCCTTTATTTATGCCATTTATGGATTTTGTACGCTGTGTGTTGTCGCCAATTCGAAGTTTTTTCCCCTTTTTCAGGAGCTGCCCGATTTTTCGCCATACGTTTTCGCACGCGCTTTTCGTTGGTTTACATCTTTTTTAGGGCCCGCCGCGCGCGTTATGTAAATGTAAATGATGTAAATTATTGCAGCACTCGCGATTGCTTTGCTATTGTTTAACGCTATATACAGCGGGGAAATTCGTTTCAACGCCCCGAGCAAAAACAACAACAGGCTGGCCTGTTTAGAGGTGGATAATCATCGATGGAAACATCGATGGAACGATGTTGGTCTCATCGATGTTAAGTGGCGTTTATCGGTATCACTATAACATAAATGTTAAGGGACTTTTCTGTTACTGTTAACATAGACGTTTATTGCTATTTAACAGAGCATATCAGTTTTATTTACACTTGCTATAGGCAAACTACCGTACCCTTTATATTTTAAGAAGGGTTGATGAAATCTTACTTCATAGTTAAAATATAAATACAATTTCCGTTATATCCAAAATATGACATTTTTGGCTTTAGCTTCGCTTAACATATGTTAAACGAACAACAGGTATCTGAAATTTTCCCATCTCTAGCCGCATATTAATAACAAAAGAGTGCAAAAATGTATTTAACTCTGCTAAACGGTACCGGCTTTGTTTTTAATGTTGATGGTGAGCTGTTTAACTGCTTATTAAAACAATACTACATCTAATAAATGTATTTTAAAGATTATATGGAACTGCGAAGCAAATACCGGATAATGGGTGCTCCAGTTGGCACTGCGAACACCAAAGGCTGGAGTCCCAATCAGTCCAGTGAGTTTAAGCAATTATTATTATCCAAAGAATATTTAAATTTCTATGTATTCCTGAATAAAATATATTTCTCCGTGTAGCTCTGCCCGTGGAACTGACTAAATACGAAACCCAGTTAGTTTTGGACGAGAATATAGCAATGTTAGTGGATAAATCTCAGGACTTGAGGGCAAAGCCCACAGCGGAGAAACTGGAGGAGTTCAAGGCTGATTTCGAATCCCGTTTACTAGGACAGAAAGAAACACTGAAGGACGAAAAGCTTCGGGAAACTGAACGATATATGGAGAAAATCCTGACAGGGAAACGAAAAAAGTTGCTTAAGCAGGGAAAACATGAAATGGGTTAGTACTATGGGATTAAGATCTTTAAGAACCAATATTCAGAATAACACTCTTCCAAATTTAAAGGTTAAACTATCATTGACTCGAGTAAAATTAATTATTTGCATAAAAATAAAAATGATTTAATTTTATTCAAAGAAATAGTAATTCTAAAACATTAGTAAAATGAATCACCTTTTATGTCCTTTTTTAGCTGAAGCTCTAACTGCCGAAGATGTACTGAAGGAAATGTCGGAAAATTTTAAATTCGATCGCCAAAATGCCTTGGTGGAGGTGCCTTGTGAACATCTCAAAGATCACTGTAGATATATTAGAAATAACATTTCTAGACTTATCTTAATCTAAAGTTTTCAATACGCCCCACAGCTGCGCAAATAGTTTCTCGAGCTCTAGTCGACACCAATTCCCTGAAATACCGCATTTTCAAAGATCTTTGGAAGCGGGGTAAGTTTGTGACCTCCGGTGACGCATTTGGAGCGGACTTCCTCGTTTACCCCGGGGATCCCCTGATCTACCACGCCTCGCATATAATTATTGTTCATGAGAAACCAGTAATTAAGCCCTTGGAACTGGTGGCCAAAGTTCGTCTATCGGTGATTGTCAACAAAAGCTGTGTATTTGCCTACGAGAAGGAAAATGAGGGAATCCATTACCAAACTGTAGCATGGTGTAATCCCAGCAAGTGAAAATTTCCAAGGCAAGTAAATCACTTGGTTACGAGTATATTAAAAAGATTTTACAAATAGACAAATTTCTCACCGACATGCCTAACTATCTAATCAGATTGGATTTCTAGTAATATACCTTTTTGAAAATCTCAGAAGAAATTCGACCAGTGTAGTATTTTGGCTCCAAAGATTATATTTTTTTTTAGTGAGCGGGAGAGAGTGGGATTTCCGTGAGCATGGGTTTTGTTTTTGGCGCCGAATTGGGTTTATTTTTTAGAGGAAATTGGATACAATGGCAGAGACACGACGCTCCCGCTCCGCCCCCTTTCCCGCCGCCCCTCGTCTCTTCTGTGGCGGCCTCTCCACGTTTCTCCGTCTCGCTCTGAGCGGCAGGAGCAGCGCCATAAACCGTTTCTCCCACTCACAGTTGGAAATTGTGCATAGTACACATGGTAAAAATCGTTTTATTATGACCACGACATCCAACTCGAGGAGATGTTTGCTCGCCACTTTGTTCAGGGTCCATCGTTCCAGTTTTTAGGCGGGAACAACGACTCTAAAAAGTTTTGTTAAATTAATTAGTGATACGAAATGAGGTTATAATTTAATGGCCCCAACCAAACGGCACAGCCCACACACGCAAACAACGATAGGCAAATATGTGCATACAAATGTCGCACACATTTGCGTATTTGTTTTCAACAAATTTGTGCTGAATTCTTCATGTTTTGCGTTCGTTTCAAGTATATTCAGTTTTTTTTTTTTAAATAGAAACAACGGCGATAAGGCGCGGTGGGGAAGGCCAGCCAAAAGTCGTGCCACGCCGTTCGAATTTCATACAGTCGGGTTGTCGCACAGTGGTACGAATTGTTACTAGTTTGACACATTCACCTATTATGACCACGGCATCCAACTCGAGGAGGGATTCAACCTACAGTTATATTTTTATTAAATTTTTTTTACTGTATTTGGAATAAATAATTATTATTTTTGAAATACCGTTTACCACAGATTACCACTTCTGTAAGCTATTAGCATTAGTAACTCCAAATCTAATAGAAAAAAAAATTACTTTGATACAAAATTTTACCTAAAGATTCTAAGTTTCCTCTAAGTTTCTTATTTTTATAACTTAAAATGCATCCCACCGGGAAAGTGAGAAGGTGGTTCTTTGTGTGCTGAAAATCCTGTTCCTTTTAGCAGAAAGTGTTGGAAATCCTGTATCTTTCAGCAGGCGACGGTGTAGGGAAAATGTAAATTCCCTAGGAAAACCACATAGAAACCTCATTTCCCCCTTACTTTTTGTGTCACCCCCGTGTATTTTGAAACCAGAGACGGAAGAAATGTAAGGGGTAAATGAGGTTTAGTCCCTTCCGCTTGTATGGAGAAACCTCATGAAAATATCATATTTTCCACAGGAATGTTCCCGCTGGGATATTTATATTATCCCACCTCACCACATTCACGACTATTCTGTCCCACTGTGTTTGGTTTGCGCTCATTCCTCCGCCTCTCCCATTCCCCTACCCCCACCACTACAACTGCGCCTCATCACCCACCACCACCCCCCGCCTCGTGCTCTCTCTCCCTCTCCATGCTCCGTTGGTCGGCATTGCCAGCTGCGAAACATGAAATGCTCACTGCTTCAACACCGATTGGACTTTAAAGGGGCCTTTCGAACGGCATTTCTCATGGTCCTCTCCTGTCCCCCGTCCCAACAGCATCAAAACAGAGAAAATTGTAATCTTAAAAATTCGGCCACTCGCTCACTTTATATTACTTTCTTCTCTGAGCGTTGGATAGAACTGCCACTCTATTCCTCTCCTCTCCTTCAGTCATGGGTTTTGACTAACTTCCCTATCGCGGGGGTCTCTCCGCTCTTAAGCGGGACTTGATCTGCATATGAGAATGAGAATGGCTATATGTTTTCTATATATTTTTACCCCGTAGGGTCTCTGGTCTCTGAGATGTGTCAAAAGTAACAGGTGATTGGGGAGGAGAGAAAAGAGTCAGAGAAAAGAGAATGTAGACCGTAAGAGCGAGCCGGCTTTTCTACAAGTTGTTATTATTTTCGCAGGATCTGTTGATATTTAGGAATCAGTGCATCCCAATTTGCAAGTTTGCAATGATAGAGTTAGTTTTTTGAAACGGTACCCTATCAATTTGATGTCCAAATCTCTTTAAAATGTCCTTCGTTCAACTTGGATATCAGTGTGTTTTTGTAGATATCAATTTTAAAACCGTTTCTAACTCTAATTAGTAATCAACATAGGTAATTATAAAAACCTATTACTTCATTTCTTAGCTTGAAAAACAGGGATTAAAATATATTCATGCCCCTTTAATGGCGCTTATTTAAGTCACTAGAATTTTTTTGATTTCTGATGTTTTGGGTTTCAAGTTTGGACAGAATAAATTTGAGAACCTGTTGTCTTATTATCACTAGTTTTAAACAGAAATAAATTCGAAACAATTCCGGAATTCTTACTCTTGTATTTACTTATATATCAGATCAATCGTAAGAATTAGATAGCCCTAGAAAGACCCAATGAAAGTATTCTGAATATTATGCTCCCGGATTCTAATAGTTCTGGGCCCCTTGACCTTTCTTATCGCGCACAGATCCGTCCGCCTGGCAGGCCACATGTGTTTTTGGCCGTGGTCGGCCCAGAATATTTCCATTATTCAATATTTACCACCTTTTATAGTTTTGTTTACTATCTTGCCGACTTTTTGTCCGCCGTCTGTCTCTCCTCTCCCTGCCTAAAAATACTCTTCCTGCGCTCCATCTGGCAATGCCGCTCGACAACTGTACTTCAAAGAGCGTTGCCAGGCCAGTTCTCTCACCGACACAGCCACACCACACGGACGCGCCGACGCACGCACACGAGCGCAAAAGCAACCACCACCAGAAATTCAGAAATTGTGTTTTCTCCCCCGTGTAGAGAACTGAAAACTGGCCGCGCTGGCAGCGCCGGAGCAGCGAAATTCGATCGAAGCCATTTACTCAGTCTCAGTTCGAGTTATTCAACGTTGGCGAGCGGACAAACAACAAGCAGGAGAAAAAAGCGTACGGCCAAGAGAAAGAGAAGGCAAAATCACCCACAGCATTGAAATTTTCTTTTGCGCTCCGGTGAGAAGATAATTTCACAAACCAAAAGCCAGCCAACAAAACAACAAGAAAAAGTGCGCTCCGTGAGCGGGAATAACAAAGTCTAGAGACACACGATTATAAAACAAAAAGCTGAGCGACCAAAAAACTGACTGAAAAAAAATCAAATGCGTGTCTCATGGCTTGACTGTACTGTGCTTAAAAAAATGTGACTGAGTGTATGTGTCCGTCCTGTTTGCCTTTGTGTGCGTGTGTGCGCTGTTGGCGTTTTTAAATGTGGCGCGCTATTTTTGTGTGATTTTTGTGGGCAGCAACGAATTTTGAAACAAAAATTTTATGCTAGTCCCCCCTTGTGAAAAAGTCTCCTCCAACAACAAAATTCCTGTGAGCAGCAGCCTACACACATGCGTTGTCTCGCTCTCGCGCGCTCTGGCCCCCAAAGAGTGTGAGAGCGCGAGAGCGAAAGAGACGGAGAGAGAGTGAGAGCTAATAACCAACATTTGTACTCTTTTTACATTTCAGTTTCGAGAAAGCAGCGCGCCAAGCAGCAAGATAAAGAAGAAGAAGCAGCAGAGGGAGTTGGAAAAAGCAGTGGCGTAGCGAAGGAAGTGGAGGAGGAGTAGAAAGGGGATTTTTTGCGAAAAATCCCGACTGGAAGAGAATTTTTCGCCGGAACCGTGTAACATTAAATCGTCGTGTTGGAGACAAATAGCAGCGAATACGCTAGCAACGCTGGGGAGGAACAACAACTGTTGGATTTGGACGCGACGGCTTTGATGTCGCTGCCAATGAATTCGCTGTATTCGCTCACCTGGGGCGATTACGGCACCAGCCTCGTATCGGCCATCCAATTGTTGCGCTGCCATGGCGACCTCGTCGATTGCACGCTGGCAGCCGGCGGGCGGAGTTTTCCCGCCCACAAGATAGTTCTGTGCGCCGCCTCCCCCTTTCTGCTGGACTTGCTCAAGGTGAGTGGTTTAAAAGAAAAACTTACTTAGTTAAAGCCCCCTCTGAAAAGAGAGTTTGTACACCCCTACATAACCTCAAACGTGGCGTACAGTTTGTAAACAGAGAAATCCAATCGCAGAAATAGGTTAATATGTGGAGCGCAGAGAAACTTACACACACAAATATAACAACATCGCAGATTTGCGCTCCGCTCCAAAAGTTGTCTAGAGATTTCTGTACAAGTTTTCCACTGTCAATTGAGTTGAATGAGTGGCTCCGCCCCCCGCACATTCCCTCCCCACTCTTATCAGCTTTTTCTTGATGCAAAGTTCACCAGAGAGCGAGAGAGTGAGAGGTAGCGCAGACGGAGACGGAGAGAGCGAGAGAACCAGTTGGTTCGACAAAAAAAGTGGGTGGCCCCGGAGGTGGGACGGAGAAGGAGGAGAGGCAAAAGCTGCTGCGCCAACTTTCAGTTCCCATGTGTTAGAGCGAGCGCAAACGAGAGCGCCAAAAAAGCAGCGCGGCAACTATTGTAGTTGTTGCTGTTGGCTTGTTGGAGCTTTCGTCTTGCCTTTTGGTTCTTGCCGTTGTTGTTGGGTGCACACGAGCGCGACCTCTTTTTTCCACTGGCAGAACTGTACAGTTGGCACTAACTAAGGGGAACTTGAAACTTGGGGTTGCCGTATAAGTAAATCTTAAAAAAATACACTTATAAAATGTATGTTTTTCGTTGATTAAAATCGTATAATCGTTTATTAATTTTGTTTTTTTTTTTGTTTAATTTCTGTTTTTTGGTTTGTTTTGGTTTTGCGGTTTGCATAGAAAACTATATTTTATAAAATTGTCTGTCAGGAAAGAATTATTTCTTCCAATTTCTAATTTAAATTACTCTGTAAAACAAACCTAGATAGGCTTATCTTCATAATCATTGAATTTTTAAAACTTTAAATAATTCAGAGTCCA